CGAAACCAGGAGATGTCCTTACTGAATCATCAGAGCTGAACAGGTGATGGAGAAACAGGTTTACCTTTTAGGTGACATGAATGAGTTGAAGGGAAGTTATAAACTGTTTCTGAGAGACAAATAACACCAAGCTCCTTTTTCTGTGTAGCTGACAGCTGGTAACTGTGCAGGGGCGGATCTAGCAAAATTTTGCCAGGGGCCCAGGTAGGGCATTAACAGGGAGAGGTGGGCACAAAGAAATACTTTCTTATTTTCATTTAAAATTTCTCACTTTTAACAAATAATTGTCTGAATCTTACAACAAACGTTTTCATCTGATGTAAAATGTATAGAAATCCATTATTGTACATAGTAATTTTTTTAGGGTCCCATCATAATTTCTTCAGAAGTAGCTAAGTACTGTATATGATGCCAGTATTTTCCCACATTTTCTAGATACTGTACTGTAGTCAATTAAGTTTTATTCTTTCTCACCTGTCTTTCTGTCTCCTTTCACTTTTTAAATGTTGCCATGTTAGAAAAAATATTTTGCCCTGTCATGCTGTTTATTGATGTGGCAAATGAATGGTTTATGAAAATATATGTAAATCTGTCATCAGTAATCAGTAATGATCATGTCTCACCTCTAGTCTTCTCTGTCTTAATTTCAGGTTTTCATCATGTGTTGTAGATAGTTCAGGAGGTTAACTCAACCAAGCAGTCTACTTTCGGGTACTGTTTAGAATACCAGAATAGGGAGGATGGTGTAGGTTTAAGTTTATTAGACTGATACATATATACCAACAAGACAGTGTACATCACTGTGACAACAGCGTTTGTTTTCATTCAAAGGCTTTATGGTTTTTCCTATAATACCTGGTGGGCCGGTCACCAGTCAAAATACCCGGGCCGATTTTTTGTCCCAGTCCAGCCCTGGTGCCAGAGAAGCACCCGAGAAGACATCGCGAACGCTTCCTGGCCTTCCCGTGTAGATGTTAGTGAAACTGTTGGGAAGACCACGTTGGAGAAACGTGAACATTTTATTTGTACTGTATAATCTGCAGATTCTGACAGAAATCTGCAACTATCCTTTGAAGCA